ACACTTTTAAAAAGAGTTGTATATACATCTTCGCAATCAGTTCTAATGCTCTCTCTTCCTTCCCACATTCATTGGTTGCTCCCAAATTCCCCTCCCCCACCCCACCCCATCCTATTCCTGATAAACCATTGCATCAGTTAATGTCCCTATGCATCCATTCCTTCTGTGCTTCATAAACTGAGAGACCTAACAGAAAAGGAAGAAAGAGAGAGCGAAAAGAAAGAAAAAAGAAAGGAAGAAAGAAAACACCAGGCCAATTTCTACGAGGCTGAAGTCAGACATGGATACCTGGTGGCTTAGTTGTTATTTGTCTGGGCTGCAATCCACAAGGTCAGCATTTCGAAACCATCAGCCTCTCTGTTGGAGAAAACTCAGGCTTTCTATTCCCTTAAACAGTTACAGTCTCAGAAAATCACAAGAGCAGTTCTACCCTGTCCTATAGGGTCCCAATGGGTCTGCATCACTTTGATGGCAGTGAGTTTGATATACCTCCACTCTCCAGTAATCCCTCCTAAGGCACTCTTGCTTCTCTGAGGCGCCTGTGGGATGTGCGCCCCTAGGAGATGAGTTTGGGTTGCATATAGGCTGGGAAACATCAACTAGACTATAACTAAACACCAACTAAAGCCTCGGGAGAGAGAGAGGTGGTCAGGGGAAAAGAGGAGTGAAAGGAGGTGCAGGGTGACAGGCTGGGAACTCCCACTTAATGACTGAGCAGAGAAAGAGGAGCCCACAGAAGTGAAGTACTCAGTTAGGAAAGAAAACTAAAATTACAAAGATGAGCCTGGGCTCATTCATAGAAGCTGATGGCAAAGGGCTTCTCAATAAGGGGGAAGGGAACAAGGGAAGGATTGAGAAATGCGAGATTAACTAGTCATGACTAACCTTAGCCAAAGGCATTTGCGAGGGTAAAGGCCAGATGGAGACAGGAGTGGGAGGGAAAGGTGACTGCAAGGGATTCTTTCAGGAGAGCTGGTTGTAAGTGGGAGTTAAGGTGGACGGATGGAAGACAACCCAGACTTGAGGATCTGAGGTGGAAGAATGGGAGAGATTTCAGTATGATCGGCTGAGGAGCTGATGCAAGGGGCTCAAGTAGAAAGCAAATGTTTTGAGAACAATGATGGCAACAAATGTACAAATGTGCTTGACACAATGGATGGATTGCGATAAGTTGTACGAGCCCCCAATAAAATGTTTTTTGTTTTTTTTTTAAAAAAGATCGGCTTCTGTTGGAAGAGAGTCAGTAGACTGAAACTAAGAGGGGAAAACTCAACCATTCAACTATCAGCAAAGCGCCTGCCGCGTGGCAGATGTCTCTTCAGAGGGCTACACACAGATAATCAAGGCAAGGGAGGAAGGCTCAATCCTCTCGATGGGAAAGGGGGCTCCTTGTTTTTCTGGGAGTTCTGATTCCACGACCTTTCCCGCTCCCGTAGATACCAACAGGTGCCACACGTCCCTAAGTGCCCCAATTGCACAATTAAGGTCACAACGAAGTAATGGACCGTTCAGAGGGCCACGCCTGTAACTACCACGCTACCGCCTCCAGAACCGCCCCTCCGCTCCAGACGCGACTGGGCAACACTTTCACCTTCGGACTAGCTCCTCCCCGACTCTTTCTTTGTCTCTGCGTCGCAAGATCTCGCGCGACCGGGAGGGAAATCCCGCGAGCTCAGAACCAGGGCCGGGGCTGCAGCTCTCGCGGTGTTTGCACGAGCCCGCTTCCTTCCTTCCTCCCCCCCCATCCCAGTCCGTCCGTCTGTCCGCCCGCCTGCCTCCCGCTTCTCCCTGCCGGGCCTCCCCTTCTCTCCCCGCGGCCCCCGCCCCGCAGGGATAGTATGGTCTCCGGCGATGGACGCCCTAAGTGCAGGTTAGTTTCCAGCGTCGGACTTGGGTCTGGCGCCGGGATAGGCGTGCTGTCCAGGCGCCGGGTTCCCGGATTCTCTCGCCTCGAGTCATTCGCCTGGGGCCCTCGGGGTCGTCCTCCCCACGGGGATGCCAGCTGGCCGCCGCGCCGCGAGGGCCCAGCCTCTCTGCCTGGGTCTCGGCTGCTGCTCTCGACCCGCGCCCACCTCC